GAGATACAATATGTTTAGTTTACTCAATGGATTACAATATGTTTAGTTAACTCCTTGAGATACAATATGTTTAGTTTACTCCATGAAATACAATGTGTTTAGTTTACTCCATGAGATACAATGTGTTTAGTTTACTCCATGAGATACAATGTGTTTAGTTTACTCCATGAGATACAATATATTTAGTTTAATCTATGAGATACAATATGTGAAGTTTACTCCATGAGATACAATATGTTTAGTTTACTCCATGACATACAATATGTGTAGTTTACTCCATGAGGTACAATATGTTTAATTTGCGCCATGAGATACAATATGTTTAGTTTACTCCATGACATACAATATGTGTAGTTTACTCCATGAGGTAAAATATGTTTAATTTGCGCCATGAGATACAATATGTTTAATCTACTCCATTAGATACAATATGTTTAGTTAACTCCATGAGATACAATATGTTTATTTTACTCCATGAGATACAATATGTTTAGTTTACTCCATGAGATACAATATGTTTAGTTTACTCTATGATATACAGTGTACTATAAGTTAAGTTTACTCTATGAGATACTATAAGTTTAGTTTACTCTATGCGATACAATATGTTTAGTTTATTCTATGAGATACAATATGTTCAGTTTACTCCATGAGATACAATATGTTTAGTTTACTCTATGAGATACTATAAGTTTAGTTTACTCTATGCTTTATAATATGTTTAGTTTACTCTATGAGATACAATATGTTTAGTTTACTCCATGAGATACAATATGTTTAGTTTACTCCATGAGATACAATATGTTTAGTTTACTTCATGGATACAATATGCTTAGTTTACTCCCTGAGATACAATATGTTTAGTTAACTCCATGAGATACAATATGTTTTGTTTACTCCATGAGATACAATATGTGTAGTTTACTCCATGAGATACAATATGTTTAGTTTACTGCATGAGATACAATATGTTTAGTTTACTCCATGGGATACAATGGGTTTAGTTTACTCCATACAATAAGTTTAGTTTACTCCATGAGATACAATGTGTTTCGTTTTATTCGAGGGGTACAAAATGATACGTGACAATTCGTGAGATACAATATGTTTAGTATGATTTAGTAAGTATTAATTGTAACATACAATATGCTTAGTGTAAATAGGGTGAAACGCCACTTTTAGTGTAATTATTTAGGAACAACATGTTTATTGTTGGTCGTGACAATGATTTTTAAGTGTAAATTATTTTTCGACATATACAACAAGTTTGGTGTAATTCGACACATACAATAAGTTTGGTGCAATTCAACATATACAATAAGTTTGGTGTAATTCGACACATACAATAAGTTTGGTGCAATTCAACATATACAATAAGTTTGGTGCAATTCGACATATACATTACGTTTGGTGCAATTCATGAGGAACATGGAGTTAAAATGTAACAGAAACTAACAGGAGATACAAGGTCTTTTCCATTCGATTTATCTGTACTGAGTAAAACTAACCTAAGAAATCAACCAATTTTAATGAGAACAAAATACATCGTTTAACTGATGTATGTGGAATGATCGCTTTAATTTCTTATATGCCTCAGATTGAAAAACAAACTGTTAGGCATGACATGAAGGAGTATTCCTTGTGTGATATGCGAGTATTAAATACAATAAAACCTAGTATAGCAAAAAAAAACATTGTTAGTACGCGAGTGGTTGAATTTAACCTAACAACGCCTTTACAACAAACGACTGTAATATGCTAAGGTAGATTAAAAATAGGATATCAATTTAGTTTCTTAGTTCTAAATTTATCATTAATGAACAAAGATACTTTCCCCGGGCGCCTGGATAATATAGCTCACCCGTGCTGACTTGGATGGCACGTGCATTGTGCATTATGCATGTGATATAGATCCCAAAGCTACGACGACTCGTATTGGGGATGGTTACGTATTTGTCCGTTAAGATTGAACGAGATTGGTAATGGCTGTGTTTGTCACTTAATGACATTCAATATATTAATATCATCCAGAGATGCAGCCAGGCGTTATGTCGAAACGTGAGTAGAATTCTAACACACGATAATGACTCAGGCGAAATACTTTTTCTCACTCATTATCTCTGTATGTCTCATTGGAGTTTCAGACATATTCAGTTATTATACATATAGTTGAAAGGCGCTTCATATTGAGTCACTTTGTCAATATCTATAAACTACCGTACATGAAACGGACTAGTAAACCGGTGGCCAAGTTGTTAAGGCGTCTGACATTCTGCTACCACTAGCCCTCCACCACTGGGTCGTGGGTTCGAGACCTACGTAGGGTATTCACCTGGCCGTAGGTCGGTGTTTTTTCTCCGAGAACGCCGGCTTTCCTCCACCACCAAAACCTGACACGTCCTTTGGTAACAGTGTTCAGTAGCGTATGGTGGCCATGGGTGATATTTTTATGCAATGAATAACCCCTGTAATATTACATGTATCAAAAGTTAAGAAAAAAAAATCAGCTCTAAAATTGGCATATACATGATTGATTGGTCTATGTGGGCTTCACATTTAAAGAAAAAATCGTATTTAAAATGTAGTTTATAAATATATATATATATATGTAGGTGTGTTGTGCAGGATGAATCCGCTATCCATGTTTATCCGAGACATGCCGTTTATTTTTAGGGTCAAGCCATTTCAACTTCAATATGATCTTACTCGTTTCCTAGACATAACTGTTATGTGTTAATCGACCCTAAAACTGCAAGGAAATTGCCGACAGCCGTATACATTGCAGCAGATTCACATTTTCAAATGAAATGCTGTCATTAACGTTTTGATGATATGTACTTAAAGCAGTACAGTGTTATTAACTATGGTCATGTCCTTGAGTTTACACGCGTGAAGATTAGACATATGAATTGTCATTTTTATAAAATAACTAGACTGAGATTCAAAATACTTTTTATTTTATACAATGTTAAATATGATACGTAACACACAGCAGAAATTAATCACTTTCCCGACGTTTGATTTGTTGCTTAAACGACCTTCAATTGAATACAAAGCACTAGAAAATGGTGTTTGGTTTTTGTAGTGATAGAAATCTTTTGATTTTGAAATTCTATTAATGTATTATCTATCCAAAACATAACCAATGATGTACTGGGTATATGCGATGCACGAAATTGAATGCCGGTATCACTGTGTTTCATTTTGGAGTAAGAGAAAAACAGTAACAGTAACAGTCCTGACCTCAAGTCGGTGACGGGATAAACATTTAAATATGTTTTTGACGTAACTCTTTTGGCGTAATAATAATACATTGTACAAGGTCATGGTTGGATAAAAAAAAAACGTATGGCGTCATGTTTTGTAATATTTCATTGGTATACTGTTTCACACATTGGTGGTTTATTGTAAACCTGAATATTTCAGCGCAGTGACTTTGAAACCGAAATAAAGGAAAATAGGAAAACATAACACACTGACAATTTGGGGATGGTCATATCTAGTAATTATTCATTTTTAATTTTACAAGTACATATATGTACTTGTATATATTTACATACTTATTGTTTGTTTTGTACATGAATCTACCAACTGAAAACAACTGCCATTATACCATGGATACACTATGAATACAACGATTATCGTGCAACCGGTCAGCTACTACGCATAGTACCGTTTCTGAGAAGAGTGATCTCCCCTTCTTCGAGCTAACGTAGTTGCGAAAAATAACAATAAACATTACAAAAGTCATACATGGTGCACCATTGTACTATCATTTTATCATTATATTTATAATATTGTCATATTAAATACTGACTTCCGACTCTTAATCGATTCCTCGTGGTCACGAACTTTTAAGCACTAACGTCCGGCTGGGTACACTCCGTGACAGCAACCCAGAGAACTTTGTTATGGCACAGGACACTTCATCTATCAATTTATCATCATTTACATCTGCAGGTTTTTTTTTGGCAAACAGCATATTCAACGGTTGTACATGTATCTTCAAGTGAGCTTTATGCTTACTGCCGACGGACGTCCTGGTTGGTCACTATAGTGACCAATGATTTGAAATAGGACGGATATAAACATTTTTAAATATATAATATACGGTGTTAAAGGCCCTGTCACACTATAGCGTTTTGTTGGACGTTTGGTTGCGTTTTGAAAAATTGGAGAAACGTCGGGGAACGTCGACGTTCTTCAAATTGAGTTTCTCGGTCAACGTTGTTATAACGTTCTAGTAACGCTTGGGTAACGCTCAGCCAACGTTCACTCAGCGTCAGGCGACATTTGTGGTCAAAAATAGCAGCAAAACCTAGCGTTCCATTGCGTTCTCGGCGCTTTCGACGTTTCCACAGCGTCTGCCTAGCGTTCCTGTAACGTTTGAGTAACGCGTGGAGCGTTTGTGTAACGTTTCGCCAACCTGCTGCTGAATCGCAGTATAAAAGGGAGCTTTTGGCCAGAGTACATCACTTCCATTTCAACCACCGCGCAGTCAACAACAACAATACACCAACACACCATTATACCCACATAACGATACACCAAAAAATTAAAATTATTGTAACCCTATATGTGCATACTTGAATATGCGTATGCATGTATAATGTATGTACCTGTTAGGCAAATACGGGTATATACATCATGCATGCGTAATAATTCATGGTTGCATGAAATCTACATTTCAATTTATTAATATGTTTTTGATTCTTCTCACTTTTGTTATTACACAGTCAATATTTTATTTGCAATCTTTCTAATAGAGATTTATACAAAGAAGTATTTTTACATTATTCAGGCAATATTTTATTTTGTAACAATGTTTAATACAAATAAGTATTTTTACCGAATGGACAATATTGCATTTATTATTACGGTTATCTACAAATAAGTCATTGTAAATTACACATACAATATTTCTGTTTCTAAAAATTGTGTCTACCAAAAAGTAAAGTCTATATTAAGTCCATTCTGCATTGAAACACTAGGGTCCAGGTCTACACCATCCTGTCCTGCCAGTCCACTGCCCCAGCTGAGGAGTTGACCCAGTGTTTGATGAGGTTCCTCTGCTTCTTGGCTTCCTTGGTCGCAGTGTTGGTGCCTGCAACAACCTGTGTGTCTTCCAGATTGAAATCATCTCTCCAGGCACCAGGCACAAAGTCTTCTTCTGGACTTGCTTGCTGGTCCAGCTGTTGGTTCTTCAGCGATGGATACCTGACCCTCATCAGGTTGTGAAGGACCAAGCAGGTGTTCACTCTCAGCTTGACAGTCTCTGGCTTGTGCGGCATAGTGCCCAGAATCACCTGGAACCTGTTGGCAAGGATCCCAAAGGCGTTCTCCACGACCCTCCTGGCTCTCGACAGTCTGTAGTTGTAGATGCGCTCCTCCTGTGATACACCACGGAGACTGTAGGGCTTCATCATGTAGGATCTCAGGGCAAAGGCATCATCTCCAATGTAGAAGTATGGAGCATCTGTAGTGTCTTGTGGGAGAGGTGTAGGCTGTGGAAACCCAAGCAGGTCTTCTTCAGCTCCATGTTTCAGCTCACTGGAGTTGTAGATCTGGGCATCGGATGCTGATCCCAGGCCTCCAAGATCTGCCCACACGAACTTGTAGTCAGAATCCACAAGGGCCAGCAACACGATGGAAAAGAACCCCTTGTAGTTGTAGTACAAGGAGACACTGTCTGGAGGACACCTAATGGCCACTTGCTTGGAGGAAGTTCCACCTCTGATAGAATTTGTCAGCAACTTCCTTCCACTCTTCTGGCGTACTGGGGCAGGTCAGCATCTCATCCAGGTACTCGTCCAGTATGGCATGGCAAACCTCTCTGACCACCTGTGACTGAGTGTTGTGAGGTACTCTCCATCCAAACTTCTGCGAGGCATAGCTGTCACCAGAGGCAAGGTGTCGCAAAGTCAGGGCCAGCTTCATACCAGGGTCGAGGGCCGGTCTAAAGCGAGTGTCCTTCTTGGTGATCCTGGGACCAACTCTCTGTCTCAGCTCATCAAACATCTCTCGTGGCATGCGCAGGAAGTTGTGGAAGGAGGCTTGGTCTTCAGCTCTGAGTTCAGCCATCAGCTTGTCATAAACACCAACCTGGGGTCGCCTTCCTAACCAGGGTCTCACCCACCACTTTCTCCCTCTCCTCTTCCTTTTCTTCTTGGACTCTGCCTTGGACATCTTGACCTGATGCAATGCCAACTGCAGGAGGTTGTTGTGATGCATGAGAGCAGCAACAGCATACTGGTGTTTCTCTTGGTCTGCCATTCTTCTGAGGTCTTCACTCTGTGAAAGTTCCAACAGGACTGGCGGTGGCCTCTGTAAGCCCCTTATATATGGCAAGTCGCTGCCAAACGCTCCTGAACGCTACCAGTAGGTTACAGGCGCGTTACAAGGACGTTACATGGACGTTACACAGACGCTGGAAACATTCAGAACGCTGGCAGACGTTAGGAAGACGTTGAAAGAGCGTTACATGAGCGTTGATAACGCTCGGCGAACGCTGACGAACGCTGACGAACGCTGACGAACGCTGAGAAACGTTGGCGACACGCTGGACAGACGTTCGACGGACGTTACACAGGCGTTACGCAAGCGTTACCCAAGCGCTAGCCACGCGCTGCACACTCGACCCTGGTGGGCCGGCGTCCGCCTAGCGTCCAGGAAACGTCCTGACTTTCGAGGAACGTTCGAGTAATGCCTGCCAACTTTCGTGTGACGTTCCTCTAACGCGTAAGTAGCGTTTTGATAGAACGTCGTGAATTTTTGTGCACACCCAAAAATATTTAAATTAGGTGTGGCAAAGCCCTTCTATATTACTACGTACTGCCAATAGCAGCTTCATCTTATGAGACTTTAACTGAAGTTGGTCTTTGCACCTCCGAGCGACTTAACAGTGTCACTACCGAACCTATCGATATCTTCTGCTTTGATCCCGAACACCAGCTGCCTGTCTCAAGTGTCTGTGTGATCAACAAACAATTGTATGCCTGGATTTTTCACAAATCCAACCTTCTCCGGTTGCACGATCAACCTGATTACTGCAGACTTCCGTTGAGTGCGTGCGCCGGATATAGGTTGCAATAAAATCGGAAAATGTTTTACGACACTTGATTAGTTACTTACAAAATGTTATTTGTTACTATGTATGAATCGAAAATATGATATATATATAAATTAAAAACAAATGAATTATTAAAGAAAGTTGTGGAGTCATTTCAATTGTGTATGGGAAATAGCTCGTGACGTCAGCTGTTATCTTTGTGCCGTTCTAGATATTGACCTGACATGACGGTAATAAGCGGGAAATTTGAAATTTGGAAAAGACATAAATTATTTTTTGCGAATTCTCATTATGGAAATATAAATATAAGCAATAAACTGCATAGATGTGGCAGACCAACTGGAATAATTGCCACATGTGTCACCACATCTATGCAGTTTATTGCTTAAATATTGCTCACCCTCAGCGTTCGCCGACGTCCCTCGACGTTCCCCAACGTTTGCCGACGCTCGTATAACTTTCTTGTAACTTGTTTCTAACGTTCTCGACGTTCCTCTGCGTTTCACAACACGTTACTCGAACGCTGGTGAGAACGTCGTAGTGTGACAGGGCCATTAATGAGGGGGAAAAAAACATAAAATAATATCAACTTTCAAAAATGAAAGGAATATCAAATGTTGGTTATTAGTCGAACATATGGTTTGTGTGTAGCCTGGAGTTCTGGCTCTTTCTTTTATATTGTTATCTGTCCGATACTAATATCAAAAATAATAGATTTACGAAAAGTGTATGAAATATATATATTGAATGGATGTTTGTTCTTGTACATTGCGGCAATGAATCTCAACAGGATATGCAGATCAGATACTGCTATTCATTGCCAAAATGTACATGAACAAAAATTCAAATAATCCCTATATGTATAAGTGTATGTTGAAATTCATAAACCAAGGTCTTGTATGCATCTTCCCTTTAGTATCTATAGTCAATTAGACCAATTTGGGTTTCTGACTTTTTGGCCACAGCATCACCGATTAGTTTTAGGAGAACAAAACAGGTGTATGATGTGGTGTAATTGGTTTTCTGGCCTACTGTATCTATAACTGAAGCTTAAAGGTGCAAGTATCTGTGTGTGAGTGCTACGTGTATCTTTCTATCGTAGTGTTGACGACTCGAGTCAGCTACGTGTTGTTTAATACTTGGTCATAGATGTGCGATAGTTGAATCGAGTCATTTCGGTACAAATATAACAACACATTGTACATACGCTTACAGCGTAGCCGAATCAACATCGATTCACTGGTGATTTGTCTGATGAAGGTGACAGAGTACATACCATACTAGTCATCGAAATGTCACATAGAAACACATATTGGTTGTGTTACAAGAATCTTTTCAAAATAAATTTCTAGCAATACAAGGAGGATGAGGTTAATCCGTCTCCTTTTCTTCTTTATGGTCAAACGCAATCCTGTTTTTGATTGTTCCATGAATAAATATATATACATGTACCTATCTGTGCCAAAATAGCAACATAAACCTTTTAGATTAACAAAAAGACGTATGTTGATAGCTGCACTTTGCATATAAATAAGTAATGTCCTTACGCAAGCCTCTCTTTCAGATAATCTGTAAATGTTGCTACACTCAGAATAATTAACCATCCAGCTACGACACATCAAGTCTAGCCATGTTTACAAAATGTGACAACGCAAGTGAATAATGATTTAATGAGTTCATTGTTACGTGTCATCACCGAAGGTTATCAATAAGGTGATAGCACACGCTCCCTCTGAACCAATTAAGTCTGAAAGGTCAAACATTAAGCAGAAAGCAGAGATATTACAACTAGAAATGAAACAGAGCTTAAAGAAAAATTGGTGTTATATAAATTACTGATTATGTACACTGTGCAAATAAATTGTGTAGGGGTTCATGAAATAATCCGGTTAGTTCGAAAAAGGTTTTCACTTATGTTGACTGCTAGTCCCCGGCTTTAAAGTACTAATGCTCATCGTTTAGAACATTAATTCAGATCGTTCAGAAAATAAATGCACTACGTTTAGAACATTAGTGCATTACGTTTAGAACATTAGTGCATTACGTTTAGAACATTAGTGTATTACGTTTAGAACATTAGTGCATTACGTTTAGAACATTAGTGCATGACGTTTTGACTATCGTAGTGTAGTACATTTAGATGACAGGTAAACTTCTAGTGTATTACAATAGTAATCTAGCAGTGAAGAGCTAGTGTTAACGTATAGCACTATCGAAAATTCATGTAGCATGCAGGCAATATATTTTACGTTGTGGTTTTTAAATATGAGTTTTAAAAGCAAGTATTTTATTTTCTGATAGATAATTAAAATAAATGTTTACCTTTTTACTGCTATTTCCTTGAAAGACTCTCCTATGAAATAGATCTTTCGACAGATTCTATTCCATATCCCATTCATCATCACTGGACAAATCGTCGTGTCATTTTTTCCAGCTTCAGCATCTTTCCTAACGCTACAGGTTTCCGGTTATATCATTATCTCTTTGTCTTTGTTAGCACCGAAGCATTGTTCATTTGTCAACAATGCGGTCATTATGAATTCAGCCTTCGGCTTACGCTAGCCGAGGGGATTATTGTTATTAAGTATTATGAAGTTGATTAAATGTGCGCTATACTATTGTTTTGTGAAAATGAATTTGTGTTAAAACAAATTTTTTTTCCCTTTGTGACTGATTAAACGGTGTCAAATTAATTTTTTTGCTATGTTTTTTTAACTGTCACATTATAAAATATTTGAAACTGAAAAAAAGAACGTTAAAATTTGACATTTTCAAACTTTAAATGGAGAATCAAAAGAAATGTCAAACTGATTTGCAGACATAAACAGCATTAATTAAACACAAACACCCGTGTTAACATAAAACTTTATTCGACAAACCTTTTAAGGTGTGTTCATGCATCCACTTTGCATCACATCTTTATTTCTTATTTCATGCATGGTCTGACCCATCTTGAACGGCACCAGCGCGCCGTTCTCTTTGGGGTGAACTGTGCGCCTCCAGCTCGCACACCCGCGAAGTAGATGTCAGCGTGTGTTTTACAAGATTCGCGCTTAAAGAATGTGTCAACAGGATTCTTTCCTTTAACAGAATTGCATCTCTTTTTCATGTTCCTCCGAAATCGTTTGTCGCACTGCAGTCTTGATAGGCCAAATCTTTTCATCTGTGTATAAACATGTAAAATGTGACATAAAATTACGTTCTGTTACAACATTTAAAATGAATGTTCGCATTAACATACACGAAACTAGCAAGCGAATCCCAACTTATGAACAAGAAAATAATGGGTTAAAATACAATAATGTTCACAGCTATGCTAATTTTGGTGATCACACTTTAGCAACATATTGAAGTGTTTTTAAATCTGTCTTATTTCCTCCAGTAAAAAAGTCGAAAAGTGGTCCTGAATAGGACAACACATGGTTCTACATGTACATAACAGAAAATAGGTCTACAGTTTATAACGTAGTTCTCCACAAAAAATACACGCAGACAGTTTCCCAGCCATTAATAAACGTTAAAGTAATGATGAAAAAAATGTTGTAAACTTTGGGTGCGAATTTAGCATTAAAATAATGTTAAAGATATTTTAAAAACATCAAATTAATGTTGTACTATAACGTTATTCCTACATTACAGAATGTGACGTTACTCTGATATTTAATTTTAACGATGGAAAAGCATCAATTTATTTTGATATTAGAATTTAACCTCACATAACGTGAAAAAAACGGCTGACTAAAGTCACATATTTTTCATCATAGGTCAAATCGACTTCAGCACCTGTGAGGGTGTCTCATCGAAACTAGCCCGATTCCGTCAAATTTGTTAATGGTTTTTTTTTTTTTGCGTTTTAAATAAATAAAAACAAATATTTCAGGTGCATGATAATTATGTATAGAACATAATCCAGAGCAACACCACACAAGAACAACATCAGCATACAATATATTCCCAATATAAAGAAGGCAGCGAAACCAAGTAATTCTGAGCGGTTCTGAAGAGTAAAGAGATTCCGAGACTATAACTTTTATTCAATACTTACACAGTAGTAACATATGTCGTGCATGTTACATGCGGGTTTAAACCTTCCCTTGAACGCAATTTTAACGCCTTTCGGGACACTGCAGCCATTGGAGTAAGGGTTCAAATCACAGGTGTATTTGAATTGCAAGGTCACAGCAATCATGGTCATTAAGACCAATACCAAAAGATGCACCTGTAAATAAACAATATACATTTGTTATCTGAAATAAACAGCTTCATCAATTACTTTATGGTCTTTGATACATAGGCTATTGGCTTGCCTAAAAAAAGATAAGAAGACTGCCAGCTGTAGTGTGTTGACACACGTTGTAAAAAAACAAACATATGGATTAAAGTATTTTGTTATATTGTATTTGAATAGTCTATTTCGGAGTTCCATACGTATTTCGTAATAAACGCCAAAAAATGGAGATGACATTCATACGCTTTTCAATGTTAATCGAACGCAATAAAATGTCATCAAAAATACATAATAAGTAAAATAAAAAAATAAAAATAAGGTGGAAAAATAAAATAAGAAAAATTAAAAAATAAAAACATTGCAAAAACAATAAACAAAAAAAGCATCAATAACAAAATAAAAACAAAAATTCATAGAAAATTAGCGAAGAAATAAAACCGTTAAATTAAACAAATATAACTTTAGTTCTAATAATATACCTTTATAGTACACATTTCTGTTGTAATCCCCAAACGGTTGGTACTGCTTCTGGTAAATAATAAAGAAATCCGTCATTTATAGCGCTACGTTACTTCCTATATAATTACGTATGCACGCCAATCAGATGTCAATTTCATAATGTGAACTTGCCGTTGGCAATGCAAAATTATATTCAAATATTCTATTTTCTCTTAAATGTCATATTACCATTCGTACATATGTAAATATTCAAGCTGCCACATACAACTTGGCAACAGATTTCGAAAATAGGATGGGGGTTGCATGGGGGGGGGGGTTAAAATCTATTAGTGATGAAATAGCATAATACTACTACTACTGTAGGCCATGCCGCTGATAATACACATTCAACTTTTGTCATTTAATTGTATTTTGTACCGAAATGTGACTTTTTTTCAAAACTGATACTTACAGCTTTATTTTTATTTTATTTTATAATTACCATAATAATGATACATATGTATTACCTTTATAAAGTGGTATATGGACTAACATGTACGTTGTTTGTTACATTGTGTCTAGTATCGTTCATATTTACTGGTATTGACAATTCTGTTTGGATTCTATTGTTGCCGACCATAAACCACGGCAGGTATTCATGAAAGTGTGTTCATGCTCAAGCATGGATTTTGTGTCCAAGCGCCTTATTTCTCAACCCTTTATAAAGTTATTGAAATATCTTATTTGGTCAAGGATTTGGAAAAGTTGTGAAAACACTGAAAGCCGAAGACTGTTTTCAATGTTTACATTCGACTTTATGATCGTTTGACATGATTTAAACAAGTTACAAGAAACATCGATGCTTAAACTTGAGAACGGTTTCATGAATATCAGCCCAGGGGTGTGGGTGTGGGTGTGTGTGTGTGTGGGGGGGGG